TTTTTTTTTTACTTGAGATAGGGTCTTGCTCTAGAGCAGTGGTTCTCAACCTTCCTAATGCCGCAGTCCTTTAATATAGTTCCTGTGGGTCACAACTCATAGGTTGAGAACTGCTGTTCTAGAGGCACAAAATACCCATTTAATCTACAAAGTATTTTCCTTGTACTTGCTGCCTCTTTTGCAAGTCAGACACCTGAGGCATGGATAGTACTGAAATCACTCTGAGTAGGTCCTGGAAGACTGGGACCCTTAATCCTTAGTCTAGCAGGTGGTGAGTCCTGCTTAAACCTGCCTGCAGCTCCCAAGCAGGCTCTGTACTTAAGGAAAAACCCAAGAACTCAGGTAAGAGCTACATAGCAGCTTTTCTGGGTGTCCAGGTAGACCAGAAATTCAGTGGGCATTCTAGGAGTGGGGCACTGAGAAGGGGAGGGCAAGGCTACCAAAGGAGAAAATCTAGCACCCCTAGGGAAAGGGATGCCTCCTGAACCCTGGTTGCTCCTCTGGGGTTCTGCTGCTCACCTAGTTTGCCCAGCAGCATCTGCCCTATATCCTTGATGTCATTGTACTCATGGAGCTGGGCAATGTGGTCCTCCAGTTCATCCACGCTGTAGCCTCTGTGATGAGTGGCGGAGAGAAAGGGAGAGACAGCACTGTTATGAAAGCTCCGATGGTAATGATGCATTTGTTTAACTAATGTTTGCTAAGGGCCTACTCAGTGCTAGGCAATGGGGATAAAGTGATGGTGAGACACTCAGGAAGCTTATAGCACACCAAGGCATCTGCTCAGACACTCACTCCTGGCAAATGTGCTCTGTTCCCTGGGGGACAGGTCCCTAGCCACATTGATATTATGTGACCTTGGCCATAGTGTCTCACACTCCATAGGGACTCAAAGATGGGTATGTGATGTAAATTCCCTCAAGTGGGAAATGCACACTTTCAAAGGCTGCTCAGTCTTTGCCATATGGCTGGAGGAAGAGGGACTCCAGGAGTGTGGAAGGGCCAGCTTCCGCTGCACAATGAAAACCCTACCCACAGGGAGAGCATGAAGTGGGTTTCAGTCACTAGACGCTAACAAGTTGTCTTAACCCCACTGAGGTACCCAGTGAGGCTTACTCAGATATTAATTGGGAGATCTCCTTGTCCAGCATGTCCTCCTTCTCCTTCAGTTTCTGAATGTCTAGGAGCAGAGATTCTTCACCAGTCCCATCAGCCTGGCCAGGCTTTGGAGATGGTTGCTGAGTGGCAGAAAAGCAGGAAAACCACAATTCAGCCTATGTGTTGTCCCCCAACAGCTACCCTGCCTCCCGCCTCCAGATAAGAGTTCATTTCCCAGATTCCCTTGGAATTAGATGTGACCCTATGACTAATTCTGGCAAGCAGAACTTAATCTGAAATAGCATATGCAACATCTGGAATTGCTCTTCCAGAGACAGGGCTTCTTTTCCTCCAGGCTCCTCCTTCCTGCTGGCTGGAATAGGGGTACAACACTGGGGCTGACAGTCATCTCAGATGATGAGGTAGAAGCTACATCTTGAGGTTGTGGTGGAACAAGATGGAGGCCTGGGTCCCTGATGACTGTTTAAGCCACTGGTCTGCTGTTACTTGTACGTTTTCTTCCATTCCCAGCCAAACCACCAAACCCAATTCTAATTAATGGCTTGCCCTGGTCTTCAATCTGACCCCAGAGAATCTGCTCCAGGTCCCCTTCTTGGGTTCCCCCTCTCAAATCTGTGATATCCTTGGGTTTATAATCTCATCAGATAACAGAACTCTCCTCTAGGACAATAATTCACCTTTGAGCTTTCTCACCATTTCTGATTAAGTTCTGCTTGCCAGACCAGTACCTAGTATACAGCTAATCTGCAGGAAATGTATGTTGGAGGAACTATCTACACGTAACATAAGAAGAGACCAAAGGCTCGGCGCCTATGGCTCAACCGGCTGGGGCGCCAGCCACGTACACCTAAGGTGGTGGGTTCGAATCCCCAGCCCGGACCCGCCAGACAACAATGATGGCTGCAACCAAAAAATAGCCGGGCGTTGTGGCGGGCGCCTGTGGTCCCAGCTGCTTGGGAGGCGGAGGCAGGAGA